TACGATGTACACATACGAAAAGGAAATTGTTATTTAATTGCAAATCGAAGATTGAACTGTACTTGTAAATGTAACTTTATGCCAAGATGCCAACTATAAAACTCGTCGTTCTATATAATGTAGGCTTAAGTTAGCATAGGTGGAGTTTATTAAAAGAGATGTCAACTTTCTTGATAAGGTTTAGTACGAACAGTTAAATTTTAAATGGAATTTGGTCAATTTACAGACAACATTAGCGAAACTTTCGAAGGCTATACCATGCGTTGAAAATCAAATACAAACGATTAGAACAAGACGTTGTTTATAAATAATGTCTTTATTGAAGGCGATAAATGGAGAGTTTAACAGTACAGTAAATATGCAATGCTGAAATTACCTACAATGGACAAGATTGATGGCTTGATCGACAGTCGCAATATTGACAATCGGTAGTACTGGGCCAAATATCTTTGTAAATATACACAGCAATGGACAGTATTAATGCTGGCGTTAGATTGAAAGTATTCTATATCTTTTAGCATCAGTAGATAATAGTGTTACCTCTTCTTGCATTATAGGATCATTTGGTTCCGTGCCGATTAGGACGGTTGGAGAAATAAACTTATCTTCTCTATCAATCTCTCCTCCAACGGCAACTTTCTTTTTATCAATTAAACGAGCGACTCTTCTACCCAGCTTAAAATGACATCTTTAAAACTCATATTGACGTATTTAATCCAGGATTGCGTGGTATGGATAAAACGATTACTTTAATATCGTCATTGCAATTTTCTTACATTTCCGTAAATTTTTTCAATTGATCCTTCAATTCTTCCACTCATTTTGGTTGAATATCTTTGCTACATAAGATATAGTCAGGAGCAATGCAATTCTGTGAATCAGGTAAAAGAGAGATTCTATTTCTCTAGTTATAAGCATTATATAAGAAAAATTAGTTCAGATACCTGGCTGGAATTGACATATTTGCCCCCAAGCGATGCGTTGAGCAGGAATGTTGATATTACAGATGTCATCAGTGATACATGGACTGATTGAAAAAAAGATTGGTGTAAATTATTCATAGCAGTCACATTATGCTGCATGTGAGATTTTACATTTTTGAAGAAGCTGTTATTTAGTATGCAGTAAATCATCGTATATCCTGAAATTGGAATACTAATTAGTGAATAACCTCTTTCCACCTAATTCCAAAGTAACTGGAGTCAGATGCTTTGAAGCAGCTTCCAGTACGATCTTGCCCACAAAACTGCCTCCAGTATAAAAGACATGATCAAAGCGTTGCTTAAGGACCGCTTCTGCAAGGTTAAGCCCACCGAATATAACTGGATAACATTCCTATATTGTATTATTCATTCGGTAAGCCATACAGTGTGAGCAAACGTTTATTAACATTATGAAATTTGCAGAGTAGCATGCAATTTAGGTTAGTTACGCTATCTAAATATTTTGGTACAAGTGTGAGTAAACGTTTATTAGCGTTATGAAATTTGCAGAGTAGAATGCAATTTAGGTTAGTTACACTATCTAAATATTTTGCTACAAGTTCTGCAATAAGCTTTGTGGTATGACTGGATACTTTGCAAGGTTTTAGAATAACACAGTTCCCTACATTGAATGAGGAAAAATATGATCTGCGTTAGATTGAAAGCCCAACTTGATTCAAAGACGTATTGCCTGAGCAGCTAAGAATATCTGGATTTGATGAATCGACAGCGATAGCTCCCACAGCTGGAGATAAGAGTACCTGAATTGGATAATTCCATGCACCCATGACTAAGACAGTTCCCAACGGCTCATATCTGATCATGCAATCATCAAATTGATGAATGAAAGGTTTACTAACTCGATTGGATTCTACCCTTTGAGGTAACTCCTGCAAAGCAGTAACAATCTCATTGCGTACAAATGCCAATTCTGACAGCAGAATTTCTGCATAGGGCTATAATAGAGTCGTAATAGCCATAGTTTAGAAGATAGTAGGATGTAAAATTGAAATACTGTGGTGTTTATGGCATTTAACTCAATAGCACAATAAATATCCTGAGACACGCAATAAAAGTAAATAGCTGCAGCTGTTGTCTGACATGTATCAATATTTTGGAAGATATTTGCCTTAGCAATAGTAAATCGAACTTTCTATTTACACGATGTCAATTGCATCATTCGGAAAAAGGTTTACAGTTTATTATATACAATCTATTTTTTCCATTATGTACAGAATGGATAAACGGAATAAGATAGTTGATGAAATGATTGTCTAATTATGATATGGAATGATTTTAATTAACAATCAAGTAATTCTTGAATGAAATAAGAAATGCATACCTTCTGCAAGTCCTCAAAAATTGGCTCGCAAATTTCTTTTTCTTGATCTTGTGTAAACTTCAGTAAAGTTCTTAGCTGCTTCTGCCGAAATTGAATGTTTCGGGTCTTACCAGAGTAGAAGGCCATACGTGCATTATCAACTATCTATTTATGACAAGAAAAATGGAAAATTTACAATACAGTGCTTGATAAAAGTTCCATCGGCATTTTCTACAGTATATAAGCTTGGCCTAAATTGCTTTACTACCTCTGCAGAGAGACTCGGTGTAGTGCTACATGAGAATATATTGTATTGTTTATTTTTTCGATTTTGAAGGATACAGTGATGTCAATTGAATTGTCCAATTCGATAGTTTGATAACAGGAAAAAAATGTCAGAAAAATGAAAAATTTACAATGCAGTGCTTGACAAAAGTTCCATCGGCATTTTCTACAGTATATGAGTTTAGCCTAAATTGCTTTACTACCTCTACAGTGAGACTCGTTGTAGTGCTACATGAGAATATATTGCCTTGTTTATTTTTTCGATTTTGAAGGATGCAGTGATGTCAATTGAATTGTCGAATTTGATAGTTTGATAAGAGTAAAAAAAAATGTCTGAATTTCGCCATTATTCAGCATTAGCTGCTCTGAGTATAGGGTGAGTTATTTTCAGCTGGAACAGAAATGCACACAATGATTGTATTCGTTTGTTATTTTGCATAGGGATAGAATTGTTTAGTTGTGTAGCAAAAAGATTACTAGTGGCTAGCATATCGAACGGTGGCCATCTGTAAATTCATAGGCATCGGGCTACATTAATCCATGCTGAATTGCTCATGGTATAATGTTGTAGGATAGCAAATGGACATGGTTTAAGAATGATCAGAATTGGAGGCTATAGCTTTTTCATGGTCATAATTGAATGAGAAGCTTAATCTGAATGTTGTCAATTTATAATATTGGGTTACTTTCTTCATTTGTCAATTTATTGTTTTTTTATTGGAAACAGGCAGCATTTGTAATTTATAAATAGTTTCTATATTTCTTTATAAAGGGAGCGCTATTAGATTTTGTTCCAGCCGATTCTATAGTACTGTAGTGTCTAATTATCATGGATAGCAACCTGGCTAACTCGATCTATTGCAGTTTTAGCCATGGCAATGAAAGAGTAAGCAATGGTTGTTAACATAGTTTCTTGACGATTGAATTGTTAATTAGTAGTAGATAGAGCAGGTAGTAATATGTCTTTCTACTTATAGACTGAGACGAGAGAAAGCTGTTCTGAGAAGAGAACTTTATTACTCTAAGCCCGTTAGGTACAAGGTAGAGAGAGAGAGATACTGCTACATGTAATTTGTTTCCGACAGTATGCTATGGTACATTTGGTGTTTTCAAGATTGCTTTTGACAACCATCGTGGCAGCTGGCCACTAAATCATACACCGATTCCACTCACAGATTTTGATTACCTTGTAGACTTTGTACATCTTTGATACTTGTCAACTACGTCTTATTACATGGCTCTACAGAGTCATGTTTTATCCAGTTTGTATGAGAATTGAGTATTGGTAAGTTCGTTGTAGCCAAAGTGTAAGGCAAGAGAATTACCCTGTAGGCAAAGCCATGATCAGGGTTGAAGAAATTGGATTTTTACTTGTCAACTACGTCTTATTACATGGCTCTACAGAGTCATGTTTTATCCAGTTTGTATGAGAATTGAGTATTGGTAAGTTCGTTGTAGCCAAAGTGTAAGGCAAGAGAATTACCCTGTAGGCAAAGCCATGATCAGGGTTGAAGAAATAGGATTTTTTTAAATTATTTCTAATGCATTATTTTGTGTGTAAGCTGAAGTAGATTGGAATCAATAATTCATCTACATACGATACCCCCTAGTGTT